TATATATAGTGTGAAGAAAAAGGCGACGTACTTTCTGGGGCGTTGACGTTAAACGCGTGCTCTGGAATGACTCCGCGGACAAGACGAACACCTGAGCCGAGCGGCCCTGCGGCGCAGCTGCAGCGCCAGCCACCAGTCGAGGAAATGCCAGAAATGCGCTCTTTGTCTAGTTGTCAACTCCTGGAGAAATTCAATTTATTGGCTCGCCGATGTGAGAAACACGCGGCAGCAAAGCTGCACCAGCAGCGACAAGGACACCGCCCGGCGGCCCTTGGTATTTACCTCGTCACCAATATCAGTCAATCGGCAGCAGGCCAAAGGTCGTGGGGATTATTGGAACAAAAAGAAAAGTTACGTCGTGAAAGAAATTACTGAGAAGTGGGAGCCGAGTCTCGTCACATAGTAATGTCACTCTAAATGGCAAGGGACAATTTTTATCCATTGTAAGTGGCGAATGTGTGTTTTCAGTCGTTGGACAAAATTAAAATTTGTACAGCAGGAGATTCAAATTTGTAACCATTTAGAGTGAGTGCAAATTTTACAGCTCACATTAAATCTACTTTATTGCTAGAAACATGCAGGATTTGCAGAGGTTGGCTCATAGACACTACTGCCTTAGAGTTTGTCGTTTTAGAGAAATCTAGGACACGCTAGGCAAAGGAGCGAGCATTATTAAGTCGGTTTCGGTTCAAGTTTAAAACACGCCACAGGGTCCTCTTTCTTTAGAAACCGTTGATTTCGTTTCGTGTCTTTTGTTTCCTCGCCTCCCATAATTCTAACGACCTGCCGGTGCTTTAGGTCGTGACGGTCCTGACGACCGGCGGTTGGCGCGGGGGGCTCACGGCGCGGCCGCGGCGGGAACCTGGAGGCCTTCCTCCAGGCTCCGGGGGAAGTACCTCTGCGGGGTACCTGCGGCTGCGGGGACGTGAAGGTGCGGCATTCCTACAACCAGAGACACACAAACACGTGTTGCCTGGCGGGCACTTAGAGCAGCAGACGACGCGTGGCTCACTGCCTTGCGCACGCACACACGCGCACACGCGCGCACACGCGCGCACACGCACACACACAGCCACACACCACCTGTTCTGACTGCGACAGGGATTCCTGGCTAAGAGTCGAAAGATACCATCGGTTGGACAAAGAATGGCGTCCACACATACTAGTCTCGAGGAGCGCGCGCGCACGCGCGTGCGAGTGTGTGCGTGAGTGGGTATCTGTCTGTCTTCGTGAGAGACAGAGAGAGAGAGAAACAGAGAGGGAGAGGTGTGTGTGTGTGTGTCGTCTGGCGCGCACGGAGTGTTTTGGAGGGTACTGCCGCCGCCGTGGCCTGAGCACAAAGGTGAGGACGCAGGGCCCGGCCCCGCCCCGCCAAGACCCCCACCGCGCCGGTATAGGAAGGGCGACGCATATTAAGGCCCCATTGTTGC